AGAGGGCCCTGGGGAGGGGGGCGGCGGGCAAGGGGCTCAGGGGCTCACTCTAACATGCAAAGTCCAGCTGCCCCATAAACTAGGTTGCTTCTTGAAGAGTGACATACGTATAAATACACAGACACAGCCACACGCACACATGCGGAGAAGGCTCTGCATTCCCAAGGGTGGGGATATAGGCCTGCAGGCCTCTAGGAGCTCCAAGGCAGGAGCCTGGCAAGTCTCCGAAGCCTCCTGAGGTGGGGTGAGTCCTCTGGGGAAGGCTGCTTGGTCTCTTTAAGTTCTGTCCACCAGCACCCAGATGACTCTGAACCAAATCCATGCAAGCTGGGTGCCACGTGCCTGCACTTCTGGGTACTCGCAGGCAGCCTGTGTGCTGGCACGGGGGTCCAGTCTCTCCCCTCCAGGGCTCCAGGGAATGGGGGTGCAGACAGAGGAAGGTAAAGGGGGCCAGCGGAGATGTCTTCTCCCCCGCCCCACGGGGTCCTGGCCTCCGGGAGGGGGGAGGGGCCTCCCTTATCTCTCTGCCTCCATGGCAGGGTGGGCCCTTGGTTCTGAGGCGGCCTGTTGGGGGGCCAGGGGTGGCCAGTCTGATGCCGGGGAAGGGGGTGCTGGAGTCCACAGAGGCGGCTGCTGCGGCTGGTGGTGCTGTGGCCCCCCTGGGGGTGAAGCCACCATTGGCCAGCTGGGCGCTGCAAAGCTGCTGGTGGCGGTGGAGTGGGGCAAGTGTGGCGGGGGCGACGTTGCTGTGGCAGCCATTGGGCTGCCACTGCCACCACCATGGAAGCTCTCAGAAGCCTTGAGACGGGAGAACATGGTGAGGGCATCGGGGAAATTGGGGGGCGTTGCGGGGGTGTTGGCAGGAGTGCACATCTGTGGGGAGGAGAGCAGAGAGGGAGGGGTGAGCACTCTTTCTGGGAGGCCCCCAATTTCCCACTGGCTCCTAGTTGGAGACACATGCCCAGCCTCTGTTGGGAGATTTTGAGCCCCTCCCTTAGATGTACCTGTCCCCCTGACCCCCATCTACCAGTCAGGGGCTCACAGAGGAAAAGTGGGGCACTGAGATGGGCAAGCCCACTACACCTGCTGGTAGCTCTGACAAGGTCCGGTCCCAGTGGCCCCTCCACAGCCAAGAGCCACTGCAGCTTGAACTGGGAGACCCCTGCATAGCTGCCCCTGAGGCCGCAGAGGACACTTACCATCTGGTGGTGGTGGTGACTGTAGGGGATGTTGGTCTCCTGGAAAAAGGCGCTGAGGGCCGTCTGTGGGAAGAAAAGCCCAAGCTTACCCTCACCGCCCTGCCTGGCCCTGCTGCTGCCCTCCTTCCCAGGATCTTTGGGACTTTGTGCGGCCTTGGGCCTAACGAGGGGGAGAGGTGAATTGAGGCAGCGTGCCTGTCACCACTCAACCCTTATCACCTCCCAAGGAGGCACCCTGGACCCCCAGACAGGTATGGTGGGTAATGAAGACCCTCATGCCACTGTCTGCCACCTGGACATCAGGTGCCTCCAGTTTGCACATACCTGGTGTCAGCACTGCCATCTGGGAGGCAGGCAGCACCCTCACCAATCTCACAGGGAAAGGCCTCCTGGAGACCACAGCCCAAATCCATGGGTGTAAGCCCCTACTCCTCTCTGAGCCTGTTTCCTCATCTCTGAGCCAGGGGATGGCAAAGGCCCCTAGGTGTCAAGTCTGTGACCCACCTGTCCCTCTCCTTGGCTGACCAAGGGACTCTGCCCTGGTGTCAGCCTCAATTTCTCCATCTGCACCACAAAGAGATTGAACTAGGTGGATTCCAGGTTCCCCTCCCTTGCAACGGTGACCTCCTAAGAACTGTGTTCCAGCTGGGAGAGCCAGAATTAGGTAGGATGGTCTGGGTTTGCACTCCCTGCCCAGCTCACCTGAGTCTTCAGCAGAATGTTCTCAAGGTGACAGAGCAGGAGGATGGCAGAGGTGGGGTTTACACCCAAGACTGTGAGGAAAGGGGGATGAGAACTGGCCTGGGTCAGACCAGCTCATCTGGATGCCCTGGGGGACTGGAGTGAGGGGGCTCCAGTGTGGCCTCTGGGAGCGCCCAGGGAAGTGCTGGCATTTGGTGTGTCCTGGCTCAGCCCCTGCAGGAGGGCTTCGAAGAAAAGGAAACCAGCTTCTCTTGCGAAAGTGCTGGGTGAGGGAACCCATCAAGTGTGTGAAGGGTCCGCCAGGCCCTACCAAGTCTCGGGCCCAGCTCTAAGCAGCCCCTGCCACTCTGCCCACCATAACCACCCCCTCAGACTGGTCCCCCACAGCCCTGCACTGCCCATCCCCTTGCCTGCCCCCAACATACCCAGAAACCCAACCTGGCTCCCGGGGCTTCCCTGGGATTTTTGTAATTTTCTTAAAAGTAAAATCAAATGAATTATTCTGGGCATTTCCTGCTGCAACACCCCTGCCCATGTCTCCAAATAGGTGTGGGAACTAGGGGAAGGGGGGCACTGGTCTCTAAGCACCTCCTCGTGACCCCCAGCCCCACCCCTGGAGCCCCAGGGACACACCCAAATCATTCTTCTCCCAAAAGTAGCTCCAAAGGCCACTGAGTGTTAGGATTCCAGGGAGAAACATGGGCCCCACCCCTTAAAATAGACAGAGGTTCCCCCTCCCCCTGCAGCTTCTGTCCCCATTAACACCTGAATCAAAGAGAATGACCCAAAAAGACAGCCTCCAGTTGGCTGGGTCAGACCCTCAGCCAGTAAGCTGCCAGCTGGGGTGTGGAAGGCAGAAGGGGGTTAGCCATAAGTAACCTCTCACTCTCACACTGAGACCTAAGGTTTGGTTGGGGGTTCATGACCTGTTTTCACCTTAAGTGAACCTTCCTAGTATCCATATCCCTGAGTTACAGATGGTGAAACTGAGACTCAGGGACCCTGGGGCCATCAGAGCCCCCAGTCTACAAACTGCTTTTGACCCTGCTGGGATCAGAGTCTCCAGGCATTTCAATCCTCAAAACTACATTTTCAATTCCTATGATCTAGCAACACCAGCCCGCACTACCTCAGTGACCATCAAGCTGTTGCCAGGCTCTGTGGGCTGGGCTGAGAGTGCCAGCCCACTGGACACCTGCCTGCTTAGCCCCAGGCAGAAAGGGAGCCATGTATGCAGATGTGGGACTCAAGCAAACTGCCATGAATGTGGTTTTGCAAGTTTTGCCACATCCAGCCCCAGACACAAACGGGCCGATTAGGGAGCTTCCTGCAGGGGGGGCCTGTCAGCCCTGGGGGTGGCGGGGGCATTCACCCCTTAGAGGTCAACTCTCACCCCCAAGGTACAAAGGGAAAAACTGAGGCCAGAGAGGGAACGGGACATTCCCAGAGAGAGAGGATCTCCTGGTGTGAGGGCTTTCTCCTGGTAGAAAGCAAGGATCCTTTGGGTGGATAGGCCACTGCCTCTTCAGACTGTCCCAACCTGCGGAAGGGAATTCGGATCCCTTCCAACCCCAGGAAGCTCCCCTGGCTCCTGGTCCCTCCTGCAAGCCCAAACACCTTCCCTAGGCTAGCTTCCCATGGGAAATCGAGCTCTTGGGCCCCTGCTGGACACAGGCGCTACAACTGGCTGGGGCTGGGCCCTTACACCTGGTGAGGAACAGAGCTCAAGGAGCTCTGGCCTCATCCCTAGATACTACTGTAGACTTTTTCTGGGACAGGTAGGTTTAGGAAGGTAGCTTCTTGGCAGCACAAGCCTGGGCACTAGAGCTCTATGGGTCGGGGAGGCCTGAGGAGGAGAGTGAGGGCTAGACTGGGGCAGTCCCACCTCCTGCCCAGCTGGCTGAAAGCTACTGAACCGCACACCGCGCCTGCACCGTGCAGGTACAGTCCCCTGCCAGCACAGAAAAGGGCCCCAAGACAGCACTGTGCACTCGGGTGTACACGCATGGGCACTAGCTGTAACACCGCGACGTGTATGTGCATGGAGCACACACCCCGCACCCGCGCGCCCCAGGTGGACTGCGTGTTTACACACGCCAACATGCGCACACGCAGCGTGGCGCGTGCGTAAATACAAATGCACATGTACGTTGGCACACGCGCCACTGGGCTGCCCATCAGGCACGCAGACCCACACACGGGGCGACTCCGCCCGTGGACCCCAAGGCTCTTCAGCCCCAACCCCGCGGCTCGGGGAGGGGGAGATGAAAGGGGGGCAACGCGTGTCCCGCTCCGCCTAGGCCTGGGGCGTCCTCCTTCCGGCCGCCCTCCCCACTGCTTGTCCGGGCCCGGGCGCCGCCCCGCCCTGGCCTTGGTAGGAACAAAAGTGGGGGCCCCGCATCCCCACCGCCCGGGAACTTGGGGTCCGGGATTCGGGGGTCCCGGTGGGGGTGAGGCCCCCTTCCTGCCCACC